GATATTTTAATTAGTTAGTTAAATTATTAGTTACTTCAATTAAATAATTCGTAAATTAATTAGTTAGTACAGTTATTTGGAACACTATACTTAATTGAAACACTATTACCTTATCCTTTTTCCTTCTTGAACTATAACAATTTCAGTAGAATTGGCATAGGACTTAGATATTATTTTCATATTTTTCTTATATTTGTTTAATTATCTCTTCCAACTCTTGTTCATGTTTATTAGCTAATTACTCTATCAGTGAAAAATATATAACAATATCCACAAATTTTTGTTTAATTCCATTTAATATTGAATGAGAAATAATGATTTTTTTAGGCTGATCTGGAATATTTTGAATCAGATTTGATCACAATTTGATCTGATCTAAAATGTATATTTCAGATCAGATCACGAATTGGATTCAATCTGGTTAAAGCACTAAGATATAATGATCTTCTAAAAGACAAACTCAAAAAATAACTTGATAATCAAGAAATAATAATAAAAATTCTATATATTAAACAGTTAGTTTGGTAAATATAATTAAAAATACCTGCTATATCTCTTAATAATCATCTAAATTCTGTTAAAATTATAATAAACTATTAGTAAATAGAGTATCAAATTCATCAAACTAAAATTTTACTGTAATTTTAATTAATAATTAGTATATAACTTGTCAAAATTTTATTAAAATATTTTTGAAGAAATTTTGACAAATATTCTTAATTATAATTTATATTATAAATTTATTTGTATATTATACTACTAATAAAAAATCTTTTAAATTGGTTTTTAATTAAGAATTTTGTGATTGTTAAATTCTTATTGATTAACTTTAATCTAAGAAATTTGATATAAATAAAATATTTCTAATAATATTTAGATTAAAAATAATAATAATATTAATATATATAATCTCAATAATAATATATTTTAAAACTTCAATAAATGATAATACAAATAATAATTTAATTTTATAAGTATAAAAATAATTTTACTTATATTTTTTAAAATTCAAATATTGACAAATAATAAATAATAATAATTAATAATTGTAAGAGTTAATTTATTTTATAAAAAATAAAGATATTTAGTATATATTTTTTCTTTTTAGAATCTAAATATTAATAAACAAATAATAATAAATATTATTTATTATAAATATTATTTTATTTTATTTTGCTTTATATATCTATTTGTTAAAGTATTATATAATTAATTATATTAGTATATATATAATTAAAATACTCAATTATATTTAAGAATACTTGCTAAAAATTCTTTAAAAATATTTTAACAAAGTTTTAATAAATTATATATTAATTATTAATTATTAATTAGAATTTTAGCAAAACTTTAATATTCTATTTATTTATATTATCTAGTACAAAAAGATTTATATCTCAAATAATTATTAATAAATTATTTTTTAAAATAAAATTTTAATTATATTTTATTTAATTTATTAAAATTTATTTTAATATAAATTTTAATTATATATATTTTATAAAAAAATTTTTACTAGTAATATTTTTATCTCATAAATTTTACTATATAAAATTTAATTAAAATAAATATTAAATATATATAGTAAATAATTTAATTATAAAATTTTAAGAATTAATTTACAATAACTGCTAATTTAATCTTTATAAAATTTAAAATGTTTTTTATCAAATTTATAGTAATATACTTTTATAATTTAAAATTTTAATATAGTAGATTATAAAAATAATACTTAAAATATATTTTTTAAATGAAATAATTTTTTATTTTTTAGAAAAGTATTATATTATTTATTTTTGAATAAAAAAAAGTATAAAAAAATAATATAAATAATTAGTTTTAATTATTTTTTATTTAATATAAAAAAATTATAGAAATTAGTTGAATTCTGAATAACTTTTATTAAAAGTAATTATTAATTTTTATTTTGAAATATGAATATTTTTGTACCAGACTATAATTTATTATAATTTTAATAGAATTTAAAAAATTACTAAAAGATTTTAACAAATATTCTTAATTATATTATATTTATTTAAATATATATAAATTTATATATAGTATTTTAATATAATATAATTTATATATATTCTAAATTAAATCAAGATTTGAATTTTTTTTGAATAATTTATTTCATGTTAAACTCAATACAAAAAAAATAAATAAAATATTTTTATTTTTTAATTATTATTAATTTATTTATTTTGTTTAATATTATTAGTACTATATTATAAAAATTTATTTTATATAGAATTTAATTACAATAAAAATATGCAACATGTTTTTATTTTTAATTATTTTAAGTTATAATTAATTTATTTATTTTGTTCAATTTTAGTACTGAATTAATTTGTTTATATTTTATTTCAGATTAATAAAAAATAAAAAAATAATTACTAGTTTTATTTTTTTTTAAGAATCAAAATATATTTTAAATTTTATCATATTTTATATTATTCAGTATAATACTACAAATAACAATAAATATTATTTTGATTTTTAAGTTAAATAAAAATGAAAAAATTATTACTAATTTTATTTCTTTTTTTAATAGTTAAAATATATTTTAAAATTTATTGAACTCTAAATTCATCAAATTAATATTATAAATATTTTTATTATTAATTTTTTTTAGAATTTTAATATAAATAAAAATTTATTTCAAATAATAATAAACAATAAAAATTTGGTTTTACAATTTTAGATCTTATCAAAGTTTTACAAATTATCTTTATCTCTTATTTAATCTAGTATATTTGTATTATTATTAAGAAATATTATCAATTTTTCTAGTTTTTTATTATATACAAATAACAAAACTTTATTAATTAAATTATTATTATTTTCTTTAGTTTTTATTGCTATTTAAGATAATATTGAAACTGAATTTATTTAACATTTGAAAAAATATACAGAAAAAATATAAGAATAATTGAAAAAGATCAAAAATATCCATATTAATTTAAATTAAATAACTTAATTCAAATTCAAATACCAAAAGTTAATTATACTGATATTGATTAATAATATATATTTTATAAAGTATTAGATATTATAAAAAGATCAAATAAATATTATTCAATTAATGAATTAATTATTATTACTAGAACTTTGTAAAATTATTTAGAACTTATAATTATTTTAAATATATATTTAAATATTTATAAAGCTTTCATTTAGCAAAGTTCTAATTATATAATTATTACAAAATATTCATATAAAGTTAATTGTCTTAAAAAATATTGTAAGTATAAAAGAGCTAATATAGAATGTAATACTTGATGTTATTTGAATAATGTTATTAAATATAAAAATATGGAAAATTAGTTATAAATATTAAAATAATTTTTATTATTATGTTCAAATAAATTTTATATAATTATATATATGTTAATTGATTATTTTATTGACATTTAGGTTATTTCAAATAAAAATTAGAATTTGGTAATAGATCCAAATTCCAATTAGAATTCAAAACAAAATAGTTGTTCAGATTGACAATTAATCCACAACAAATACATCTAAATTATAACTGACAAAGTAATTATTTTCCTTTTAAGTGTTGAATTATACAATTTTGCAAAATCAGAATTATTTCGATTGTTGAAATTTATGAATTCTTATGTCAACTTCTTTAGAAACAACCTTCTCTTGTAGTGTAAAATTATATTATTCATTGATGAGTTCAAATAAGTTTTGTTGATTTATGTTAAATTAAAATTATTTTTTGCGGTAATTTTTGCATTTAATCTTCTATTTATCATTCAGATTTATAGTAATTGAAAAAAAGAAATTGGAAAATTTTAAAGCATAACAAAATTTCAAATTAAATTCAATTCTGGTAAAATTTCATTTCATATTACATGTACATGTACATACATGTATATTACGTAAATGCAGATAATGGCAACTTAGCTGATCCGCATTTGCATAAAATAAAAAAAACCGATATTATTCTATGACTCTTCAATTAAAATAGCAAAATAATAGGCATGTTAAATTTTAATAAAGATTGCTTGTGTTTTTGTACTGTATGTGAATATCTTTGTGAAACATGATTTATGGAGAGTTAACATTAACTTTATTTGTCAAATTCAGAATACGTACGTATATCGATATCGATATAGTCACGCTGTTACGTGATTATATAATAAATGTGACTACGTATAGACTGATTTCTCAAAAAGAGTGTGATTATAAAGGGACTTTAACTATACGTTAAAAATATAGATGCAACTAATTGAGTCAAGACCATATAGTTTTACTGTAGCATTCTAAAACTAGCAATTACATGTGTTTTGTTATTTTAAAACTAGCGCTAACAATAATATGAAAAAAAAGTCGTAAATCGTAAAAAAGCCTAAAGCTATGTTATTAAATAAAAATCCGAAATATTTTAAATCTTATTGCTTGTAGGCTGAGACCGATCCCATTCATTTATTCTCTTCAGCAACTGCGGCACAATCCACGTTTGCTGCGCCGAACATTTATGCTTAATAGCGAGCTTATTAATTTCCTGATTCATCAACGTTGACCTAACGTTTGTCAGAATGCAGCCCAAGCGATTCTGTCCTCTTCGATCATTGCCCCCGTCTCCCCAGTAATTATCGTTCGAGGTGTGTTCGTATAAATCAGCAGTGGCTGTTGATAGCAGCTTATATTTCAACTGTGGATATTGAGTGTATTTACACATTTGTGCATGTTCCATCACTTTTTCTTTGAAGATGATGCCATCCGGAGAAGTAGGCGATTCCCAGTTTGTTCTTTTCTCGTCATTCTTATCACGAGCAATTGAAAATGCCTCACGGGCTGTATAAGCATTTCGAATTTTTTTTTGTATAGATAAGTTTTCGAACTTTTGCGCTTGGACTGTGTGTAGATTATAAAATATAAAAGTAAGTTATTTAATTTATAGCGATAGCTTTTTGCTAAATCGAAGTAGAACGCTTACAATAGTGCTCGGTGGTAGGCCAACTATGCTTATCAATGTTCACTTTAGCTCGATAAAAATTTGTAAATTCATAATAAGGTTCATCCTTATTATAAAAATCCACTTTCTGCCCGCCTCTTCCCTTTTTCTAAATTTGACATTATTTAACTATCAACTGAATTATTTATGCAAATTCTTAATCAGGTAAAAATTTACCTCATAAGCTTCCAAAAATTTCATCATTTCAATAGCTACGTGTTTACTTTTGTTACAAACCACATACGTTGCCCCAGCACGATCAAGATCACGTACCCAAAAACGAGATGCATCTGGGCGTATGACAATTGCGTGAAGAGTCTCCCTATCACAGATCTTGCGAATGCTTTTAATAAATTCAGAAACAATGTATCCTTGCGTATCTGTCGCAATGAAGAGCGTAAAGTTTTTCTTATTACGCCAACAATTGATCGCGCAATCAAGTGTGAGTTCTTTGGCGGTGTTGATGGCGTTTGTGGTTTGATTATGCGTTCCGCACTTGAAAATCTCGATTAAGTAGGTGAGTCCATATCGGGTGAATTCTTCCTTAGCTGGTAGAATGTGTGTATAGTCAACATTGAAAAAGATAAACAACGCGACGGAATGAAATGATTGTTTGGGTTGTTGATTTAACAATGGATCCGTTAGTTTGTTAAACACTTGCTCCGGGACAATATCACTGTAAAATTGATATATTGACTCCGAGACCATATCACCAACATATTGACATGCCTCTTTTAGTTTTTTCGTTATCGTTCCCTGATTCTTTTCGTCAGAAGAATTTTGTTCGATATCAGTTTTCATGGCTTCAGTATTATCCTGTAATATTTCCCGTTCCCTGCTCGAATTTTCAGGCGAACTTCTTTTGAGAGTTTTAACATTATTGATCTTGTCTTGTGAAGGAACTTGTGACGGATCATTTATTTGATTTGCAGATTCATTGCTCCTTTGCTCCGTGGATGATGATTGTTCTTGAGTATGGTTCAATTGTTGTTGCTGTTGCGGCGGCGGCTGTTGTTGTTGATACTGCTGCTGTTGCTGTTGCTGCTGTTTCATTTTTCTTTTTTGTTTCTTGGACCTAGCAGTTTGATACTCGGAACCGTCATCATCGTTATCTTTCTTATTTTTATCCATCTCACTGCGAGGAATATTACCATCATGAGTAAATGGTTGATGAGAAGCTTGTTGACTTGGTTGTGCATTGATAGAAGCGTTAGCCATACCCCATGTAACTGGTGACTTCATTTGTGACGAGTGTATTGCATAGTTTGTGGTGGTGGCGAAAGATGCAGCTATTGTCTTCGGATTGGAATCGTTTTTGACTTGTGTGTTGTATTTTCGAACAAGATGTTCATTATAAGATTGCTCTTGTTCTAGTGTCGTTTCTGATTCGCCAGTAGATTGTGTATTTGAAGCTATTTTAAACAAATGATAACAATTAAACCATTAAATACTAAAGTACTGTGTTAAAACATTAAAAGAAATTTACGATAGTTCAAGTTGGACCAAGGTGAAAAGGTGGATGAGATTTCGCTGTTGTCCGACATTTCCGTATCTTCTTTACTTTCGAAATATGAAAAAATGTGATTATTCTTTAGATGGCCTTAAATAAGTTTTCGTGAAAGTGATTTAATATACAATAAATGGCTTGATTTCCAAATGTTCAAGGGATACTTTAAAATGGGGTATTTTATACAGTAACCCTCTATTTCCCAAATGCAATTCACGTGAATATATAGGATCGTTGCGTAACATCTATACATAATTGGTTACAAGCAAGCCAGTGGGAAAAAAAGCTAGATAAACATAAAAGAGCCTTTTATTATTCAGATCTACAGTTAAATACACTCCACGGATCTGTTATAGTGAATCTCCGTTATAAGCGTTATAACAACGAACATAAAAATTCCTTTCTCCGCTGACGAGGGATCCGGTTTAACGGGTCCGCTATAACAGTGTGGAATGTAATTATCAGCCGATCAAATGGATTTTAACAATGCCATCGTCTCCCACCAATATATACGTATAATAGAACGCTCGCTTATCATATCATCGATTTTTGGTTTCATACATGCGAGTATATAAAGACATAAATACGACCAAATTCAAATTTATCTCTTTTATTCCTTCCAATTGCAAGAAAAAAAATGAGTTGTATTATCTTTAATTGCAGAAAAATTTGTTTTCACCAAGAAACTTCTTTGTGTGACACTCATTACAGAATCTTGAATGGTAAATTTTTTGTCTTCTGTATTTTGAATAGTATGGCGATTTTTTTTGAATAATACAGTATTCAATTTATTATTTAGAAAATCCTGCGATTTTTCCCAGCACACATAAAATTTCGTCCGCCCCTGTCACCCCTTTTCTTCCATCAACAAAATATACCCATCTAATGTCTTTACGTAAAGGTACTGCTGGGTATAAAACGATTGAAGCAAAGTTCTTGAAGGATTGGGTCAAGAATAACGCGCAAGGTGAATATTACATTTTTTTATTTATAAAAAATGCAAAATCCATCTAATCATTTTCGTTTTTCTTGTATATAAAATTTCGTATAAAACAGGTTTACGAGTAGAAGCCATTTACAACATTATCTTCCCACCCGTAATAACTAACCAATACAAAAACTACAAATCTCAAATTGAATCTCAAATCCAATATGAAGCTTTAGGTCTTCCAGAAGCAAACGAAAAGTTGCTTTGGCACGGAACCGATCAACTCTGCTGTATTTTATATGATAAGCCAACAATTTTATCTTCACCTACAGATGTGTCTTCGCCATGTGCTACCGCCAATTGTCCTGGTTGCGGCATTCTTATGAATTCTTTTTTGATGAATAAAGTGGGAGTTAATCATCAAGGAAGAAAATTTCAGAGGTTGGGACAGGGATTGTATTTCACGCCGCATTCGAGTAAAGCACATTTTTATGGGCATTTTGGGGTAGGTTTTCGGGTTTTTGTACTGGTTTATTTTTATATTTTGACGATGTATCTGGCGTTTTATTTTGTAGGCCAAGTCTTTACCGAATGATAGTGAACGATATTGCAGAATTATGTTTTTGTCTAAAGTTGAGAATTGAAATTCCTTTATTTCTTCTGAGAAAGTGCTCATTGTTTTAACGTTGCTTTACTAAAATAAACCCGCATCTTTCAGGTGGTTATCGGTAAACCGTGGGAACCTGAAAAAGTTTCGCAAAATGCGCGCGGTCCGCCAAAGGGATACAATTCGACTTGGGGCCGAGTTGGTAATTTATTCTATTTGCTTTTCAATCAATCGATTAAGTGTACTTATCATTACATATTATATTTGTCTTTGTCAGGACATTGTCCACATGGTGGTTCAAAGTTGAATTACGAAGAGTATGCGGTTTATCGGTAAACTATTTCTACCTTATAGTTTGATTTTTAGTCGCAAGGTAATTTCTAAATGGTTTTTTTTATTGAATAATAGACAAGATGCATGTCTACCAGTGAATTATATAGCTTATTCTTATACGTCGAGTAGTGAATAGAAAAAAGAATGGGTTGCACTTTATTTTTATATACATGTATTATGGAATGGTTTCTTGTTATTTCTGCGCGAGTTAAAGTCTTGAATTTTGAATTACGTACTGTGTACACGAACGATTATCCGACGTGTAACATAAATCCAAAAGACTACGTATACATGTACGTAATATCATAGCGATAGTGATACGTAATCACCTAGCGGAAACTCAATAATAAAATTCCGCAATTACGTATGCAAATATACAAATGCTATCAATTGGAACGTCAAGCTCATCTCATAATATGTACTATAAAATCATTAGATAAATTTTTAAGCCGACGTCTCAAACTTTGGCATAATAATATTGATACGTAATTCAATAAAGTATATTTATAAATTTACATTGTTATTGGAGTGTGTAACATATTTCACAATGTACGTAATTTCAACTTATTTTCTTCATTATTTCATTTGTCGTAAACATACTTTACAATTTTTCTGAACCTCTATTCCAAAGGTATTCTAATTTTCGTGCATTCATTTATTAGACTGTCGATATACTTATTTTCGATAGACCATTAAACATTCATAGCTATTTTCTTGGCGATGGATACATTTACTACAATCATGAGTACGTATTGCGATCTGAACACTCATTGCAGTAAGTGAGCACATTCACTATAATTATGAGTATACCAACAATTTAATATTCATCGCAATAGTAATCATTTCAATTCCATCTTTGAGTTCACTCTATAACATGTTTATAGTGATTATACAGTCAAACCTTGACACGTACAACGAAGTGGTCGGGGCTCCCAGTAAAAAAAATCAGTTTATTTAGTAAATTCGGTTTATCCAGGTTTTATTAATGCTTCGTTATATCGAGTGCATGCTGTATTTTAAAACTTTAATGATTATTCATCATAGAACTTCTATTTATATTATAAAATTTCAGTCGATGATACAGAAAAGCACGGAATTATCACAAACGAATTATAAAGCCGAATGGTCTAGTGAAAATAAAGATTTTGATGAAGAAAATGTGAAATTGTATCGAAAGCATTACTTGATTCGAAGCAAACTACATTATGGTTTATAATATACCATTTCGAAAGTGTAGACATGATACTTTTTTGAATAAAGTTTTTCGAAAAATAGATTCTGGCTCGTATTATGCAACAGGTGTAATCTTGGTAAATACGTGCATGCATTAATTCACAAGTAAATTAGCTAAAATGAATTCTATTCACAGGAATATATTATTAAATGGTAGTGTTCACGATACCCTTTTTATGAGAATTTACATCATGAAAACTGTCAAAATTCGATTTAGGCGACTATGCGATTTAGCGATAACTAATTAAAAGCTCGACAACTCAAACACTTCTAACGCTGATATAAAGTGCAGGACACTTAAAGATGCCAATAAAATTAAGGCAAAGGATCTTTATACAAAGATCATACAAAAATAAGGAGGCCATATTTTGTAGTAAATCGGTAATAGCGACCCCTTTTTCTTGTATGATCTTTGTATAAAGATCCTTTGCCTTAAAGTTTACTAATTTTATTGGCGTCTTTAAGTGTCATGCACTGTATGAAGCTTTGGCGTAATCAAATACCGGCCGGTACATATGGGCCAGGAACTCTTAAATCGACAATATATTTCATGTTAAAAATTCTATCAACTTCTTAACTAAGAAGTAAATCCAAAATTTAACCGGTAATATTATAGAAAAGGACTTTCTTGATAATACGTATTACCGGTCAAGATTTGGATTTACTTCTTACTTAAGAAGTTGATAGAATTTTTAACATGAAATATATGGTCGATTTAAAGTTCCTGGACCATAGTTTTACGAAAAATTCTCGCAAATCACATGATTTATGTTTACATGTTCGTATAGTTGTGTGGAGAAGAGCATTCGAAAAATTCTGCGCTAATTAAGGTTGACTTTAGAATTAAGGTTATGATTAGTTAGAATCAAGATTACAGTATATCGATCGATATGTAAAATTGCTTCTCAGACATTTTTTATTGTGGGATTTTTTATTTTCTTGTAGAATTCAAAATCAACGATGACAAATATTGAAAGTACACATTATTGGAAAATTATAAGGAATCTTGGCAATGTTTCCTAAAAATTTAAATCCTAATTAATAAAAATTGAGATTAGCCGATAATGACTAAAAAATTAATAATCACCTCGTCTTTGCTAACAATCACAATATCATTTCGCTGTTTCGCGAGGACGTCTACCATGAACATCGTTTTCACTTGCTTACCATCGCAATATCCGAGTGACACCGCCGCATTCTTGGCGAACCACATTCCTAAGAATTCATGTTAATAATTGAGAATATCAACACGAAAAAAGCTGGATGTACATACTTCCTCCTTCGCGTTTGGAATAGGCACTCTTATTGCCTTCGCGTAGAATTCCACATACACCACAATTACCAGCAGCACAAGATGGCCTCAATGTTGTCATTAGACTTGTAGGATCACATGATGTCTTTGTCCCATGAAACATTCGTTGAGTGATTCTATTGGTATCAGTATCAGTAGTTCCTGACATTTCCTTCTTCAACGCAAGATGTTTATCAACAATGCTCTTTGGCATTTGCAATCTGAATATCGCTTTGACGGTAGAGTTTGGCAAAGTTTGAGTAAATCTTTTATATGCATTCTCATAATCGATTTGATTCGGACAGAGAAGGGTCAATTTAGTTTGGGTCAATTTTGAACAATCTGTCCAAAAACATCCGATTGAACAAAAAGAATGAGATTTTGTTCGATCTGTTGGATTGAGATAAGCCTTTCGATCACATCCAATTCGAATGCAGTTGGGACCCGAATTTCTGTGAATGCGTGCACAGGTTATTCCACAAAAATGAAACCTTTGACCTTGAGAATTAACATAAACTGTTTTATTGCAATTCGTATTAGCACATTTCGGTAGAGATGGTGCGAGATTCGCAATGGCACGTGCACATGTTTTTCCACAGCAGGAATATTGAGTGCCAGTCAAATCGACGTGACAAGGTCTAAAGCAGCTCGGATTGGCACAAGTTTTCGATTGTGTTTTACGAATAGAATTTTTGCCAAAAAAAGGATGAATATGATTGTCAGGACGAATGCAAATTTGATTATTAGCGTTAAAGAACAGTGAAGAGGACATTGGAGAGAACAACTAAATACATGTAATAGACAGAATAACAAATTTCAAATACATGTAGCCCTATTTATACAATACGTACATTGTTTTATATTCAAGTGATTATTAAAATAAAAATTCCCTGATTCAGAAACGGATTCTAATATATCTAACTCCGAATTTTTTGCCATAGGATAGTCTGAATCTATTTTTGAAAAACTTGATTGTATTAGGAAACAAAAAAGCATTATCGTTATGCTTACATTTTTATCTCGTTTACAAACTCCGATGTAAAATCGATATTTGCGTTGAATCACGTAATGATTCAACGCAACTTCGTATTCTCCAATTTATTTTCTTCACGATTCCACTGCGTCTAACCACAACGCTTTATAAGCCTCTTTTTGCAAGGTTTATTAGGCTGTCGACATCTTTGTGTTGATAATAAGCGCATTCACTACAATCATGAGTATTGTGATCTGAACATACTACGTACGTAGTACGTACATACATGTACAGTACATGTATTTAAAAGACTTTAAAATGTTAAAACAAACAAGATACCGATTCGTAGTCTTTTTATTATTAAGATCTGCGTTTAGGCGTTCATTCACATATGATTACACTGCTCACCCGCAGTAACACAAACCAATAAAGATGTGTAAATTTTGATCAACCGACAAAACAAATCCGACACCGGAAAATGAAAAATGCGAAAATATGGGAAACAGATGTCCAAATCTAATTTGAGTACTAATTAAAAACGTCGGAGAGGAAATTTTACATAATATATTAACTTTCTCATTCTAATCCTAACCCTAAAATCAATTTTTAATTATTATCGCTATCATGTGCCGGGTTGCAGTTACTGCAGGTGGGTCAGATCTTTATGGTTTAGAGTGCGTAAATTGATTTGTCTTGTTAACGTTAACGTTAAAAGAAACTTCTTACTACAATGTACATTTAAGTTTGCGTTTGACAATGACGACGTTTTGCTTTATTATATTATCCCGAAAGCACCCCAATAAATTGATTAAATTGAATTTGCGTACATTCTAAAAATAATAAAATGCAACCCCATAAATGCAAAGCTCCCCTAAAATGCAACCCTCTATTTGGAATGAATTCTATCGCTATGGTCACAAACTATGATCGTTGCGTAAATATAACGATAATTTGGGTACATGCATTCGGTGGGAAAAAAGTACTGCTTTCGGAATGATAAAGAGGCCTTCCGTTTTTATAACGATAAGACGATAAGAAACAATAATGATCGAAATTTTCTATGAATGTCTCATTTGAATGATATCGTTGCATCATTTGATGGCATATAGAATAAATGGATGTACAGTATGAGCAAAAATATCGATATGTTTTTTTCTATAAGTGCAAACTCTAAAAACGAAGCTAGTATCTGATCTCGAGGACTTGCATTTATGGATGTTTCACTGTAGGTAGATTCACACCAAGTAAATAACATAAGCAATAATATTGGCAGGAGACATAACATTAGTTATAATGTAAACTAAAAAAAATAGTAACAGTGAGTAAACGACGAAAATTTTGCAAACAAAACTATTAATTTGATGTCAACAATATCGATATATATGTATTTAATTTTATCAATTGCTAGAAACAAGAAACAAAACGGTATTTTTTTTGCTGCTATCGATATAATTCTGTACATGTATATAAATACTCTAAATTTAGAAATAATATGAATACGTAAAATAACGATAAATTCGGCTTTATCGTTATACTTAACGATAATCTCACTTTGGTAATTTAATAAAGTGCAGCAATATTCTTTTGATATACTAATACCGTATTTTATAGTTTTCATGTATGATACTCGTCATATTGATTATTTTGTAGTAAAGATTCGACAGGCGCGCGTTTATAAGAATTACTTTTTGATATTAATTTCTGTCTTTCTAATTTAAGACATTCATTAAATTCTTCTTATAACGAGCTCTAGCGGTAGGCTGAAGTGCAAAGTATTCAGTTTGTACATGTATCTGTATCCATATCTAAGAATTGACAAAATTGTAAAGTTCCTTAGTACATGTAGTTTATCTGTTTTCTGGGATAGTGTTGCGGGTAGTAATTAGGCGTAATCAACGATTTTACCTACAACAATGGGTTGAGAGAGGGTAATTAGACTAGATGACTATTGATGTCTTACTCCAGTGCCGATATCGTTATACTAATAATGAGAGGGGGGAGAGAGAGGGAAAAAGAGAGGGAGAGAGAGACTCGAATAAAATTATATAGGTAAGGAAATTTGGGTTTTGTTTATTCTTTTATTAATAGATATTTTGATTATTGATTTTTTAACAATAACAATTTGCTTTTTTTCTAGCTAAAAGCCCTAAACTATTCTACACAAAGCGCTTTTACAATCGATCAATATGCCGTTTTATCAACAATAATGCCTTTTCAATTAATTACGATAATTTTTACAAGTCTAATTTATTTGGAGAAGAATTGTACGCAATTTAATTCTATCTTTTATTGATGTTTTTAAGGACCTTTTTATATTTTTGCTTATTACATTTTATTATTAGATAAAATTGGAAATACTATGGGTGGGAAACAAAAGCGAAAAGCGAAAATAAAAGCAAATTGTAGAAGTAAAATTATTATCATTGTTAAGAGGCGAATTTTAAAACGAAAGACGGTTGATTAACAAAGCCAAGTGAAAAGCGGAGGATAAACAAAAGCGGAAAAACGGGTAATCAACAAAAGCAAATTTTGAGAGCGAAAAACGGAGAAAAAGTGAATATCGCAAACGAATTACTATTATGGAAAAGAAAAACAGAAGTGTATCTGAAATAGGAAGTGCAGGACATTACACAAAGAGGCTCGGATAGGCGAAGTGAATTGTTGAAATCGAGATGAGTGAGCCTCTCCGGAAATCACGAGATCAACGAAATTTGTTATCTCCCGGTAACAATAGCGATAGGATCACATTTTCAATAAATTTGTACCATCCCAGTACATAATCCCGAAAAAGTAATTTATATGATTATGATATTGAACTGAAATCCCAGGCATATATTGCTAAAATTTAAACTCCAAATGAAGACAAAAGTCTGGTTAATCCCTCAGTACGTACGTATTTTGTAAAATACTGGTACAGGACTTAGAACATTTATAAATAAACCCTTTAGTTGATTAATCTAATAATTCCCAACCCATGTTCAGAGATTTGTAATTCTTTTATTAACGTTAAACTACTTATGAAATTTTATTTCGTGACCATTCTCATTTTTACCTTATTAAATGTGACGATAGTTAACGTTAATGCTAATTATTTGAATTACAAAGTATATTAAAGATATAGTACTAAAATCATATATTTTCTAAAAAAATTGCATTTTTACAAAGAATAATAATTTTCATGCCTTTTTTTCATTATTGTTTTTTGTCGATTACCTTATTATGACACATATATACGTATTTCTTATGACACAAGACTGTGAGAGACAGGATAAATACATTTGATAAATCAACTTCCTATATAGTATTTAAATCTTTCGATATAAACTAAATTTTTAGATCTTAATGCTAAATAAATTTCAAAATGTTTCTATGAAGAATAAGTAATCAAATACCTTTTGCAATTATTATCAATGGTCATCAACGTAACCATATGCATTCTTACAAGATCAAGTACAAAGTGACCAAGGCAAGAACACCTTTTTGCTTCATATCATCAGAGTTCGCTCCACGTGAGTGCTTCTCCAACTTGTTTTCATCAATTCCAGTGTCTAAATCCATTCCAAAAGTTCATGGTAACAAAACTGAACAATATTGTGCATCAGATCGATTTTTAGTAAACACGTTACAAACCTTTATGACATACAATGGTGATGTACTAAAATCCAAGTAGTATATCTCAGACAATTCATTATTATTGTGTAAATGAACAGTGAGATGTCTATAACGAATTAAGGAATACTGAGAAACAGAACAGATCTTTGTCAAAGAGAGCAGAGATCTCATCAAAGAAAATAAGTATCTTCTTGTCAACACTCATTAAAGATATTATCCTTACGATCTTGACTAACGACATCTCAAAATTCAAATTTTGTTTTCTGAAAAAAATCAATTTGAGATATCTTTGTAATTATTATTATTAACAAAGCAAGCAAAATTTTCTTAACCTGGCCTGGTCATTCAGTAAAGTTTATTGATATTCTCATCAAATTTCTTCTGGAAAAAATGTTCTGATCAAAGACCGAACGGACTCACACCAACGTTATCATTTTAGAAGATAAAAAATCAAAAATATATAAATCATTCAAAAATTCTTAATTTCATAGAGTTACAGGTGGATGTTCAGTCGAGGGCTCCTTGCAGAAGCACATGTACATAAGAGAACACACATTTACCAGTTCATGAGCGGGCCATATTCAGATGACTGGAATAGTTGTAAAACTTGTTGTCATCATTGGCAATCATGTCTATTTGATTGTTTACTCAGGATATTAAAAGCCTTGTTGTGTAAATGTAGCAAAGACATCTAAAACAAAATCTGTGTCAGTCGTTGCCAGCACACATGACTTCTGCAAAGCATGAAACTTGTCCTCTGCAATGTCTGTTTATGACGAACTGACGGTTCTAGTGATAAAAGTTCGTTATATCAAATTTACTCTATTTTATATAGCGAACTATAGTAAATTCAAAAATTTTTATTTCACTATACTCGTGTTCGTTATAAAAGGTTTGTTATATCCAGAATTGACTGTACACTGATAGATGGGTAAAAAAAAGCACAAGTTAGTTAATATAGTATTCCTGCATACCTTCACGGTTTACTATCAACAGATGGATAAGACACAATCAGTCAACGTGGCAATGTACATGTACGTATATCAAACATTCCCTTAAATGGACAAACGGAATGGGATGGAAAATAATTTTGCAAACTGTCACATGCTACAAATAGCAGAGAACATTTTCACGTTCTCTCAAATACATTGTGTGATATTTCATCTGTCTATTCTTTTCCTTTCTAA